AAGCCCACATACAAGGAAGAAATGTTACAGGAAAACATTTTAATAATTTAATCCTTTAAAAACCAAATGCACAATCACACTAACAGTACAGCCAAAGCACTTTTTTCTCCTGCTTGTTACCTCTGGCATCAGTGCTGGACCACAAACTTTGCTCTGGCTGGTGGGGTAAGAGAGAGGGCAAAGCAGCCCCAAACAAACGTCAGGGGTGACTGACGACAACCACCAGCCAGCATCAGAAACTGCCCAGGTCTGTGCCTGCTGAAGCTACAGGAGCAGCCTACAGCTCACAGTGGCACCAGGACATTATTCTGCATGAGGCTGCAAGAACAGGTATCCTTTAAAACATTAGCAGTGTCACTTGTGTTTACAAAACATAATGAAAAGTAACTCCTGTGCCTGAACAGCAGACACCTCCAGAAAACATTCCTGAGTTGACTTGAATTTCAATCCTGGACTTTAAACACCTTTCAGTGGCATTTGAATTGACTTCTCAGTGACTTGGTTGGGTTCATTTTGTGACTGAGATGTGATTTGGAGAAAAATGCTGGGGAAAATGTAGAAAGGATAAATACGTAGGGGTTTTATTCCTTCAACAAAACACAGTCAGAAAGACTGCAATCCTCACTAATTTGGCAAATATTTTGGACAGAATTATTTTTAAAATTGCATTGGACTCAGCAAACAGTTTGATGAGGAAACTGAAAACACAAACAGGGCTTTTTTTTCATGATCAAGGGACTCAGGAACATTTTAAGTCCCAGCGAGTCACCGTGACACTAAAGCATTCAACAACACTTGACTGGCAGCATAACCCATATTTAGAGACATTCAGAACCCAGCTGTCATCTTGGGCATCTAAATAAATCGATCAGCTGTAGGCACAGATATCAAGAAGCACGTACAGACACAAAATCTTTATTCTCGTTGCTAGCAGAAGCTTATCATAAGCAGCAACAGTGCCTTTAGTTATGTTATAGTACAGAAATAACTTTGGTTAGTGCAATAAATCCTTTGTTATAAATTCAGAAGTAGGCCCACTAACATAACTGCCATCTCAAGTTACCAAATACAATCAATCCATGTAAAAACACCAAATCCTTTGGGAGAGAGGGCCCTTTCTTTGTTCTTTTGTACAGTGCATAAGAACCCAGTTTTTGGGTACAACAACACATTGAAAAAACACTTCAGATGTCTGCAAGACTGTAGTCTGGATATATCCAGGATAACACCAAGCTCACCACCAGAAATTATGAAATTTCAGCAAAATACTAAAGTAAGGAGCACAACACTGCACACCCTTCACAGATGGCTGGGGAGGAGAGTGCCTTCAGAGCCTGACTGGCTGGGTCACTGTTTACCTATGCTAAATATTCAGATTTATTGAACATCCTCTTAAGGGCTTTGCAAAGGAGTTTGAGAAGGTTAGAAATCCTGCTCTGTGTCCCCAGTGACCTGTGAAACGAAAGCAGGATGAACTCATCCTGCCTGCCCACCCACACTGCCCAGCGCCAGCAGCAATGACCTGCAGCAGCACACCTTCTGTTTAATGGTTGTGGTAAATTACTACAGGAAAGGGATGGTGTCCCTGATCCCAAGAGGTGCAAGTTGCATGCTGCAGACCTTCCTGATGTGTTTAAAACACACTAGGTGCTCTCCTTGAACTTAGTTATGCTAGGCAGCACTTAAAATGCTGCCATGTCCTTGGGCTAATAAGTGCAACTGATTGTAAATAATTACAGTGTGGTCCTCAGGGATGATCATTAGTACCACAGGCATGGAGACCCAACTGGCCACATCCATCACAGTGCCTAATGGTGCAGTTCACAGGTACTTACCTGGGATGTGCTTGGTTCAGCTGTATCTTCAGCACTGGGGGAAGGGGGCAGATAAAATGCTGTCAATTCCCCACACATCTTTTCATACTTCACACTATTAATGCATTGGTCACCAGAAGATGCAATTAATGCATCACTGAAATAATTCTCTTCTAGTAAAGCAGCTCCTCATGTATGTGAGATGGTTTGGGCTGGGACAGAGTTAACAGTAGCTGGTATTGAGCCATGAGTTGGATTTGTGCTGGTAACTCAGGGATGTTTTAGCTATTGATGAGCAGTGCTTACAGAATCCAGACCTCTTCTTCTCCTCACCCCATCCCACCACAAGGACTGCACAAGATGTCAGGGGACTCAGCCAGGACAGCTGACCCCAAATGACCACAGGTATATCCCAGACCATATGTGTCATGCTCAGCTTATAGAACTGGGGAAAGAGGGAGAGGGTGGGACATTTGGAGTGATGGAGTTTGTCTTTCCAAGTTCAGCACTATGTGTGATAAAGCTCTGCTCTCCTGGGAATGGTCAAGCAGCTGCTAGTCAATGCAAAGTAGTAAACAAATTCCTTGTTTTGGTTTCCCTGTACATGGCTTTTGCTTTTCTTGTTAAACTACCTTTATCCCCCAAACCCATGACTTTTCTTGGCTTTACCTTTCAAACTCTCCCCCATCCCACCATGATGGAGCAGGTGTGTGAGGCTGAGCTGTGGCTGAACCACAACAGTGTGCCAGAAAATCTCCAAGTCACATGTATGATGCATGGTGACACAGGAGTTTAAGTGCTTGCTAATTCCAGGCCAGTGCTGAAATCCCCTTGATTACTCTTAGTTACACAGAAGTATATCCTGCGTTATGAGCTTATTTTATAGATATTTCAACTTTTTTTTTTTAGTAATACATTTTTAGAAAAAACATCCCCAGCCTGAGTTACCAAGGTTAAAATAAGTAAGACGCTCACTGGTTTTACCACTTCTTTTACTGGAATAATTTATCTCCTAATATTCATAAGGTGACACCATTAGCACATTTAAGAAGTGCTATGAGAAGAGTTTTTAATCATGGAGATAACTGTTTATGATAGTTGTCTGTCATTAATCAGTTTGCAAGCCTCATACTCCCTGCTGAGGATGCTCAGAGAGGATTCTTACCAACACAGATCTTTTACACATGTACGAGCTGGATTCTGCATGTATTGCCATTACCACCTGAATGTAAATAAAATGCCCCAAATATTTGAGCTGCATTTAAAGTGGAGTTGTTCTGGCAAGGAACACTCTTCATCCCAATTCTGTGCAGCTGGAAAATGTTATCAGAAGATTGTGACAGCCCAATTAAAGCATTTGATTTACTTTCAAAACAGGATTTGCCAAAGCACTGCTGTACCTTAGTGCAGAATGCCCCTTAGTACAAGAGAGCAAAAGTTCCTGTCTGAAAGCACCCCTGCTCTCAAAATAAGTAATGCAATATTGTTACTCCTAAAACTGTGTTACCTGTGTTCTTAAAAATATTTAAAAAAACACTAAAAACAGAACAGAATCCTACTGAGATTTAAAACTAACTTGAACTTACTATAAAATTTGATTGCAGTTTTATGTATTCATCTATTTTTAATCTGGCTTCCTAAAGGAATAAGTTTTGCAGGGCCAACTGTTGATTTCTTCCCCCTCTTCCTCCTCCTGAATACATGATGAGACTCCTTTGTCCATTTACAAACTCAAAAAAAAAAAGCAAGCTTTAAAGTACTACTAAGTGTGAACACGTTGAGAGAGAGTAGACACTTCCCCCATGTCATTGTGCAGAGAGAGGGAAAGGAGGCAAATTTAGGAGCTCCATTTGAGCTTGGCAGCAGCTGCTCAGCAAGCACACAGCTGCTGAGGAGCAGCAGCCCATGCTGTCACTCGCACACCGGGGTGCAGGGAAATCTGGGGAAGGAAGGATTTGGGTAACGAAGGATAACTCCAGAGCAAACCAGGCCTCATCAGTTCTGCTCCTTGTGTTCGGGGTTTCAGAGCAGGCACTCATCTCCGGTCCCACTTTCATTAGTACAAATAATCCAGGGAACACAGAGACAGAACAGCAGTCAGTCCTCTGCTTCAGTGGACCAAATTCTTAGACATTTCATCAGGCAGAGGAAATTCATTATGGTATGTTTTTCAAATGAGTCTTATGAGCAGACCTTCAAAAAAGGTATTTTGGAGCTAACTCCTGCTGGCTTAAAGGGAAGCAGGATTTCAGCCTCTGTGCCAAGACCCTCAGCTGTCAGCACACAGTCTGCCTCCAGAGTCCTAACCTTTAAATCTATGCACTTGAAAAGGAACATCTCATAATGCTGCCAGCACAGCAGCAAGAGAAGACAGGAGCTGTGTGTCACACAGTGTAGCAGATTCAAGCCTGAATTGTCCATCACAAACACAAACAATTGGAAGAACCAGATATGTAGCTGAAACAAGTTACATCCACAGTGAACTAAGGCTAATGCACTCTTCTCTTCCACCCAACAGCATCCAGGAGGGCAGTGTGGCTGGAACAGCTTCCTGAAGGCAACCCACTGCATTTGTCAAGCTAAAACCTCAAGTCATGGAAAATATCAGTTCAATGCATTTTCAGCAGAACAATAAGCAGTACCACCACCAAGTCCGCATTAGTTATCAAAAATCCTGGGGTCTTTCTAAACTTAGGCCTAGTTTTGGCATAGTTCAGCACAATATATAATGGCAATCACCTCTTACATTGCCAGAGAAACTGCGGCAGAGGAGTGAAAATGCTCAAAATAACATAGCAGTAGCCATGGACAAGAACCCAGGAGCTCAGGGTTCTCAGGTTGAGTTAGTTGTTCAATCAATCAGAGTTCTGCTCTGAAAGCAAACAATACTGAAGAGAAGTTGAAAATGGGAAATCATGCTGTAAAGTGATGAGTACTCAGACTATTTAAGCGTGATTACACTCCTCAGTTATGTTTTGACTCAGCCTACAAAGTGTCCTTCTTCAGAGGCACATCTCCATTCTAAATGTGAAGTCAGCATTTCAGGTCTTGTGTATTTAACAATCATCACAAACAAGAAAAGCCTGGACTTCTGAGTTCACGGTTCTGTGAAACTTCCATGGAAAAACATCACTGATTTCGTTAGCAAGCATTTGGCTCAGAGTACAGAAAAGAAAACAAACTCACATGGTGCATGGAACATCACTAGCACAGATGAATGATCTTTTATAAACTTGTCGAAGTCCTCATCGGTCAGGTGATAAACTACATTTTCTTCATCTGCCCAGGGAGTCTCTGGAGCCTGTGGCTGAGGTGCCTGTGGGCTACAAGACAAACAGACAAAGCTTAAAGGCAGCTCTCTGGTGCTAAGCAGTCATCTTGGCAAGTCAAACTGTAAGGAACCACTTTGTGCAGATGTTCACACATGTCTGACACACCAACCCTACTGAACAGCTTCCATAATTGTACCCATCCAGAACTCACAGGCACTGAAACACAGATAAAACTGGAGGAGGAACAAAAAAATCTGCAAGAAGCTCCTGAGGACAGATCAGCAATGGAAGGGGATGGAGTGAGGAGATAACCAGACTGCTTGGTTATTACATTATAGAAATCAAATGCATTTTCTATTACTCTTTTACCCTCCTCAGCAGGATGCTCCCTTTCTCACAGCATTCCCACTTTGTAGTTCACAGGAGTCATTGCAAATGAAAGAAAAAAGCAGTGAGCAGAAACAGCCAGTTTAACCCGTCACCTTGGATACTGACAGCATGATTAGGGCAGAGAAAGGAGGAGCAGTGTTGGGACCACGAGGCAGCTACACACACCATTTTCCCAGGAATACATGGTTTTACCCTGAACAGACCTTGGGAGCCAGGGAAGCATCCTTATGCCCTCACTCTGCAGTGGGCTTGTAGGCCTAACTCAGCAAAGATACTCAGCTGCAAGCTTCACCTGAAAGGCAAGTGATGTGTTCTACCAACATCACTGCAACTGCACCTGACACACACAAAGACAGCACTCAGCTGTCTTTGATGGGTCACAGCCACAAGGACTGCCCAAAGACACAGTGGCAAGTCTGGAAACTGAACCTAAGCTCCTCTGCAGCTCATCATCCAAATAAACAATTGGGGTTTTTTGGCTTTTATTAATGTACATTAAAAAGAGAATTTGGCAGCTGTGATCTGAACTATGCTAATTGACATTTTATTTATTAAAGCAGTGTTCACAGAAAAGACACCCAAACATATGAACATTGGGAGCCAGACTTTGAAGCTATTTGTTGTTGCAGTAATGAGTTCCAAACCCCCCCATATTTCCCCAAATTCTTTGGCAAAGTACACGTCTGGATGTGACCCCATCTCTGCTGAAAGCAGATTTACTATTCTTGATTAAAACGTATTATTGTGTTAGCTGCCTGGAACAAGGAATGGCAAACAGATGATAACTCATTCATCTTGCCTTACTCATTTCTAGGCTGAAAGCCTAGTTTGATAAAAAAAATCAGAAGAGATGCACAGATTTAGATAGCAAATTCTGTTGATGTAAGCAATAGGTGTGATCCAAGAATATTAAGCAATGCATGCAGAACTGTGATGCACACCTCTGCTGCTGCCTCTGTGATAAACAAACCAAGAAGCAAACATCAAAGTGAAGGGTGGGAGCTGCACCTGGCCAAGCAGCCCAGAGAGCAATAATCTCCAGGTATCCTGGCAGGGTGAAGGCTTTCCAGCAAACGCCATGACACACAATGGATTTGGGAGCTGGGCTGAGTAGGCAGAGCATGATGAACATGGACACAGTGCCTGCAAAGCACTGGGAGAACATGGTGTTCAGCAGGGCCTGGTGTGACCTATTTCAGTCAGGAATTAATAAAGCAGGGCACGGGATGTTTATTCAAATAGCCTAATTTAAAATGCTGTGCATGCTAATGAGCCTCCACAGGAGGTGGTAAGAAACACCTCAAGGCCTGGAGAATGCAACAAGCAAAATTTAAAATGTCATTCAACACTGAGACAAGGCACACCCACCACCTGATTAGGATGACAGAAGTCCAGAAGAGTTATGAAAAGCTAATTCAATTGAGATCACAGGACAAGTTCTTGATTTAACAAAGTAGCTGATGCTAAGGAAGGGCCTGAGGGGAATCTATAAAAACAGCAAGACAAACTAAGCAGCTATTGAAGGCAGCTAGAAGCTGCTGGGCTTGCCTACCACTCAGGCTGGTACAGCTGTGTATCTGAATTAACAAAAAAGTGGCATGTACAAAATAGCATCTCTACTGTGCTGGATTAAGGCTGTGTGATGGTTCATCTCTATCTTCTCATGAAAACATCTGAATCTCCATAACACAGTAGCCACCGCTTATTAGGAAGATAAGAAAGGTGAAGTATCTGTAAGACCAATACATTAACACACTTCAGCATAAGAAAGCAGCACATTTAGTAAGTAGTTAAAAAAAAAAAAAAGAGGTGTTGGAGCCCTCCAAACTATCAGTTCTTGTCCTGAGAGGAAAAAGCATGGACAATGATTTAAATAATTCTAACTTTCATTAAGTCATATCATGTTCTCCCCCACAAATGAGCCTAACATCACACACTTTCAGCACTTTACCAGTAGTACTTAGAGGGGAAAAAAACAAGAAGAGGGTGAGAGAGAGAGCTGCTTTTCTGCAGTGTACTTATTGTCCACACATAATGGGCCATTTCATATTGCTCAATGTCTGCTGGATTTGCTTCCAAGACTTCACAAGGACAGCACATGCATGCACAGTATAAAAATGCCTTGGCTTTCCTTGCCACGGCCCTGCCATGCCCTTAGTCCTCAGAGTAACATTTTTGTGCAAAAGCAACCTTTCAATATTTTAATATTACGCTATTCTGAAACACAGCCAGTGCACCCCACAGCTATCTCATTGTACTCCTTGGCTTTCCTAAAGCTCTTGCCATACCATTTTGACTACCTGTACTGCAGATTCCTCAAAATAGTATATTAAAAATGTAGCATGTTTACCCTATATGCAATTTTATTAATAATTTAATTGATTGTAATTTAAGCATCACTTACTGGCAAAATATAAGTACACATGACTACTCAATGTGGTTTCCTTAAAAGCTGTACTTACTACACAAAACAGAGGCACCAGGCTACTGCTCAGATCATCTTTTGGGCAACTAATAAGCATGCACTAAGCGAGGACAAACAGCTGTCTTTAGCTCTGGACTGCTGAAGTATCAGCCAAAGCCCACAGTGGCTTGTTAGCAGAGATTATCATTGGAAAGAGCTTGCAGCTGTTCTGCTTTCCTCCAGTAGCTGCGTTCACTTGCTGTCACAGCACTGATATAAAGGTGCTGCATATTGCAGGGATTATCTGGATATTATGTGGGCAGACAGGGGGAAAAAACACCCCAAATAGCTAATGTTTCACATATTGTAGCCAAGAGATAACCACATCCTTGCAGAACTGAAAAGCATAACAAAGTGCAGGTGATTAAGCCATATCCTTGCTCCAAGGGCTGATCATCTTCAAGTTGCTGGAATTTCCATCTTTATCACTCACATTTCAAGACTTAATTGACTACATGAGGCTTAATGACTCTGGCTGAATTCCTCCTCTTTGAGCCACTGGACAATAGCCCACAACTTGCTTGCAGTGTTTGTAGCCCCTGATGCTCACAGGATGTTACTCTCACTTCATTTGTGGGTTCCAAATCCTGAAGCCCTCAGCCTACTGCTGCTGGAGACCCTGGGCTACTTACAACCATATGCACATCCCCAGCACAGCCCCAGTGTACAGCAAAATACATTTATTCTGAGCCAATTTTGCTAAGCTGCACTATTACAATAGCTTGCAACAGTCTGTTCCTTCCCATGGGTTTGCTTCCTTTCATTAGCTTCATTTCAGTATTGTTTCCACAACTGCAGCAAGCAAGGGAGGGTTACAAAGATGACACCATGCCCAAGAGCCTGGGCTGACTGCAAATGGGATTTCTCCATCACCAGATTATCTCAACTCCACTGTGGGGACTTGCACCAATTGAAGACCAGCTATACACACACACTTTTCCTGTGTGTCTCTGAACAGGTTGTCCCATAGGCTCATTCAGCCTCCAAAATGTTTATGACTGCAAACAGCTCCCTTTAGGTAGAACAAGGTGCTTTCTACACTTTCATGTCATGACAGCAAACACAGATGTTGTAAAAGTGACTGCCTATCCAGGGTGCCTTGATCTTCAGTTTGTCACTGTAAGACACTTTAAAGGCTTCAGCTAAAGGCTGATGAACCAACAAAAACTGCACACTTGGTATATACATTTTTAATAACAAAAGTCAAACCTTTTGCAAGGTATTAAGTTCAAGCACCGAAGATGACTGGAAATTTAACCTGGCATTTTTAACGAAGCTGAGATCTGTGTATTTGCATTTGTTTTAGTCCACAGTCAGTTTCCTATTACAGACAAAATGCAATTGTGAAATGCAAGGCATGCATGCTAAAAACCAAACATTAGTCAATCTCTCTGTATGAGTTTAGCTGATCTCAGCAGGGTAGTTCTGTTTGCTCTTCTGAGCAGAGGGAAGGAGGGAGAGATGTCTGCTCCTAAACCATTACATTCTGTAAATAATGAAGAGTACATAAAAGGTGGAGTGCATGAAGTTCAATGCCTTACTGTTTCAGCCACTCTGCGATATCTGCTGCGGTAGCACCGAAGTTCTCAAAGTTGAACAGGAACTTTCCTTTCCTGTTAAAGCAACAAAACAAGGTTCAGTCCTGGCCCTAACAGATAAAACACACAAATATACAAAAGTGCATGATTTCTATAATAGTTGCAAAACATAACCGACTCAAAATAGCAGATTGTAGGATATCCCCGGACATTGAATTCTTCCTTTATCCTTTCAAATTCAGCAGAGTAAACATTCATTCCCGCAAGAACCTGGAAAAACAGAACATAATCTTACTCATTCTTACAATACAGCAGGACCATCACACCATTTGTTTGAAGACTTAAGTAAAACCCACTTCAATCTGGGCAGATTTTGATTTCATTCATATAGCTGTCAAGCAAGGGGCTCTCTGTAAAAGGCACTGAAGTTTTTCTGATTTTGTGCAAGGGGAAACAAAACAGAACAATACTTGAGTCTAATCCAGAGAAAATGCACACCAGTTAGCATGTCACCTCCTCATTGCTCTGGAAGCATCTCTTGTTTCTTTTTATTCACCCACTAACAGAAATACCTAAAGGGAATTCTCTCAATTGCAGCACTCGTGCTCTGCCCTGCACATTTGGATTTTAAACTACAACTAGATTTTTTTTCTTCCTCTACAAGTAGAAAAAAAAAAGCTCTTAGTTCATATCCAAACATTAAACAGGACACCAGAAATTCTACCCTCAGCTCCCTGGTTTCCACTCCAGCAATGAACTTGTCTATATCTAACCAACTTGTCAATGTCTAACCAACCACAAGCATTATCCCAGTTCAAAAATGCACTTACTGAATGGCAAGGGGAAATCAGCATGGCTTTGATGTGAAAATAAAACGTGCCCTATTTCCCTGAGCTCAGGAAATAGCACATGGCATTTATATGCTCTAAATATGTTAACTTAGGTAGGGCAGGGTATAATGAGAGTTAATTCTTAACCTTGTCCTACACTCTTCAGAAAAGAGGCACAGAAGCACAGCAGTTTTTCACACTAGCACATAAAACAAAAACTCTTTCCTCCGCACTCCTCATCTCCATCCCAACTCATCCTTCATCTCAACAATCCTTGAGCTTCAGGTTCAGGGCTCCTGTGACTTATACTGTGCCCTGTGACTTATTCTGTGCCCTGTCCAAATGTCTTCCAAATATTTCTGATGTGAAAATTGGAAGATGGGATCGATTCCAAGTTTTTGTGGGTGTGCAATTCACACAGAGGTCATTCTGCTGTCAAACTCGGACCCAGCAAGTTGCTGAGATACCACTTCCTGATTAACTTAGTTTAATGGCATTGACGGCTTAAATCATTTTAGCAGCAGGGTCTTAATCCAACCCCCTCCTCTTTCCCTCTCCAAAACCAGGATTTTCTCCTTCCAGCTGAAATACCACATCAGAATTTAATACCACATTCCCGACTGCAGAAAACTGCACAGACCAACCAAATGTGCTCAGAGCCAGCATGAAATAAATCTTAAAGCAGAAAATCCTCATTTGAAGGTCAACCGTTCCTAAGAATGTGCTGGAAAGTCACAAAAAGATACTTTGTTTTCTCTTCCCTATCCTAAGAAAGGATAAATTGAACAGAGGAGAGTACAGAAGAAGGTTTATATTGCTGGCCCAGTCTTCCACTTTGAATTTTCCTTGTAGTTCAAACAACTGGATTGATTTAATTCATATGAGATTATCTAGACTCAATTCTCCCCTTTCCTTATCCTCCATGCCACAACCTAAAGGCAGGTAAATGCAATAGGATCAAGATACAACGGTTGTTTTATAAAGTAAGAACCTGTTTTGTTAACTAATTCCCTAATTAACACCAGCCTACCAGATTCCACCTTTGCTGTGAACTTTCAGAGGATTTCCTGTGATTTAAGTGGGCATTCCTGGTCAGACAATTTTACTGTGTCCATCTAAAGGCGATTGATAAAAGTCAGTAACTTGGATTCAATCTGGTGTTCATTACATTATATGAAGCATATTTAGCAAACAAAGCTTATTACAACAGGATTTGTTTTAATGACAAGAGTAACAGCTTTAGTTGGCCAATAATCACAGAATTATTAAATATCAGGCTGCCAGAGACCATCAAAACACACCTACTGCCCAAAGTCAGGGTCCTCCTGCCAGATGTTTGGCAAATTTGCTTTTAGCAAATGACTGAATGACCCCAACTTCAATTTAGGTCCATTACCTCTTGTAAATAGCCACTGCAGAAACAAAGATCAGTTTATTCCTTTCACCTCTGCAGTGACACTTGACATACTTCAACACTTATCTGCTCTCCACCAAGCTACCTATAATCTAAACCAACTCTGAACCTTTCCTAGCTGCCCAAGTATTTGGAAGTATTTGGAGCTTCTGACCATTCCTGTTTAGTTGTGACTGCCTACCCTGATTCTCAGTTTTCTTGATGGAATTTCTCCAAAACTGGTACCTTACAGCACCAAAAAATTAAAAGACAAGCACAAAAGATGGAAAACACTTAAGCACATTCTTAAGTTGGTCTTTACCGGGCAGAGAATTCTGGCACACTCACAAAGTTCATGGGCATTAGGGAGATGGTGAATGGTTTGCTAAAATCCAGTTTCCCCCTGCTCTGGTGGACACTCACTCACCAGAGCCCAGCCAACTCTCTAACCACAGGTATCTTTACTGACAAGGATAAAATAAATCCACTTCTGATTTGAAGTACTTTTTCCTTCTGCACTGGATGCAACAGAATTATAAGCTAACCATAATATAAACTAAATATGCCACCCTGCCTTCTTCCCAGTAACAGCACTGGGACAAGAAACAACCAGTGCCAAGGGAACACAGAGGCCAGTGACAGATACAGCTCACCCTTTCCTTTTTATGACCCCTTCAGTAGGCAATACTGTACTTAATTTTCCTGCCATATAACAGCAATAATCACCTTTGAGCCTGGCATATCCTGACAGTTAATGACAGGTCAGATTAAAAGGCCAAACCTTCAGCTCATCCAAACCACTCATAAACTTTGCAGCCAAGCCTGACCTGGAGGTCAACATCACTCTAAGGCACTCCATGAATAATTTATGATGGGTACAGCACAGTTAACTTTAGAAATGGCAAGCTGTGTACACATCCCACTCAGGAAGCTAATTGGGTCATATTTTGACAAACAGATCAATTTTTGTGAAAAACATAGGTGGCAGTAGCATAACTGGACTTTCCTCTGAACTGATCCTGCACCACAACCCTCCACTGCAAAGAACTGTGTCCCAGCCCTGTCACTCAGCTGTGCAGGATCAGCCCGGATCTATAGAAACCATTTCCAAGTGAGGAAGGAAATACTCAAACCAGAATAGATCTAAATTATCTGGTCTGAATTTAATAAATGAGCTGCACATGAACAAGGAAGGGATAACTGCAGGAGGACAGAGTGCTGTGCAGCATGCCTTCTCTCTGGCACTGTCTCTATAGGTGATGGCTTTAATCCTAAATCCTAATTCCCAATCCCACTCACCCCACAATGTACAGCCATGCAGGGTGGGAGTGCCTTCCCAAAGGCTGCAGCACATGCTCCTCTGAGGTGAGATGGCCTTAAAATGCTGCCTGGCTTGACAAAAACACCCTTGAAAATATCTTCTAAGGCTTGTGCCATGTCCTAAATAAATCTGAGTAACTCCCACACATTCCAGCCCTAAGCGAACGAGGATTTAAAGAAAACACTTCTGAAAACAACTGTTTTGGAGAATGTTGGGCAGTCTGACAGCACTAGGTGGTCATGAGAACAAACGGCCAGAGCTGCCCCAGCAATGAACTGCAGTGCTTCATCTTTTCCTCACAAGGAAACCTGTACACACAGCAGTGAATGATCCAGCAGGTAGGATCAGACCAAATCCTGCTACAGCCATGAAACAAAAATCCTGTTTCTTCATCCTTTATATACTCCTGGCATCACATAAATCATACGTTAAGCACATTATAAAACCTCAACTAGACAGGTGCCTTTGACTTGCTTACAGAGATCAATACACCTTATAACTACAAAGGGGTAACTAAATTACTGTGAATTCTGCACTTTATTAGAGTCAAAACTTACTTTTATATCAATGTGACATCAGCTTTGACAGAGCTACAGTAAAACTGTAAGATTCTACTAATGCTGAGTGGCTGGAGGGGGATTTCCCTCCCATAACACCGTGATTCTCCACTAAAAAAGTGGATTAATATCTGCAATGAGGGCATCCATCCCTGACCTTGCTATGAAACATCAGGCCCAAAAGCTGATCAAATCCATTTAGGTAAACATTTCTTTCTCTAACAAAATGAGCTCAAAAGGCCTAAAAATTCATAAATTAGAGGCAAAACACAAATCTACATAGTGTCAGAGTCTGTATTCCCACGGAAAAAACTGCAGTGGATTTTAAGGGCAAGGGAGTTTGCATCTCATTCTCTAAAGTTTTAGAAGAATAAAAAACAAGAGAAAATCCGGAAGAGATCTGGAACAGTGTAGTTTATTTCAGATTTACTTCAGCTGACTTAAAATGGAACATTTTGACTTTGATAAATATTTGTTGATTTATATACTTAAAAAAGTGTTAAAATTATTTTTGAAATGTCATATAAATCTCATTGTCTCACTTACATATTTACCCTTGAGTTCTGTGGCTGCCTGCTGATAAGATGGCATCATTCTCTTACAAACACCACACCCTGATAAAAAATAAATTGTGTAAGTAATATGCCAACAACTCCATTCAACCTCTTCCACAGTATCTATGTTCCAAAGCATATGAAGCAATATTTTATATTAAAGAATTAAACAAAAATTCTTTATCTGCTTCTATTCTTGATCTACTAAATCACTATTAGATTATTAGTTTCTAAGTATGTTACTTGTTACAAGCCTCTATTTTTGCACATTTTTCATGCTCTTCATTTTCATATTCATTTCTCATCCTAGTATGGAGGGAGTAAAACCATCTTATATTCCTCAGGCTCTGAGCTGAGCCCAGAGGAGACTACAAGATGAAACACACATATCAAAAAGTCAATAGAAGATGTCATAATTGTGAACTCTAAACAAAAAGCTTTGTACATTTCTGGTCTTTGAAGGGACAGGGGGAGGTACTTCAGATTCATCTCAGTTTAACAAGGCTTTCAAATTAATTTGAGGTGCATTTCCTAAACACATTACACACACACCAAGTGTTAAACAGTGCTCTGTTAATTGAGCTGACATAGCTCAGAAGCAGCAGCCCTTGTAACATACAATAATGTGCTGTGGAAAAGACAAAGGGTGAGTGAGGAAGACCACCAGTGTGTAGTTGGAGTGTGCTGAGTGAGAGCTGCTTGATGATGCTCTGCAGTGCTAAGCAGATTAGCAGTAAATCACCTTGTAAGCAGCAGTTTTCACCCCTGCCAAGTAAAATCTGGGCATGCAGATGGGAAGGGGCAGAGTGCAGACAGCAGGGAAGAAAGGTAGCTGGAGCCAAGCACGCCAGACACTTATTGTGGAAACTCTCAGTCCACCACGAGACAGTAGTCAACACTTCTGTTCTGGTTAACAGACAGAGAGTTTTGATAATATCTTCCAGAAAGGAGGAACAGATTTTGCAGCCACTAGTTTAGGATCACATCAGCATGCCTGGAAAAGAACATCCTTTAATCTGACAAAGAAGAGTTCTTGTTTCTGTGGTATTTCCATCTTTGATCTCTCTGTCAAATTGACAATGAGGTTGTTAAATTAGTGCTGGTCAAAATGACAGTTTCTTAGTGGGCACAGACCACACATTTAAGGCCCACTGAGGTCTTGCAGCTTCATCCAAACCACTGGACAGACATCAGAAGATGTCAGCTGGCAGACATCATCTTCCGAATCCTCTATTTCTTCTCTCCTCAGGAGCCTCAGGCCCTTAAGTCCTGCAGCAATTTTGCTATTTTCCCCTCTTCACTCTCTTACTGCTCTCTGGAGTACCTTCTAGGGCACAGGCACACACCAGCCTCTTCCACCCAGCCCTCACCCCTATCATCCTCCTCTTCCCAGCTCTGCTGCTGCCTCAAATTTGCTGCTCCCAAACCCATTTCAGTACACCCTCTCCTGTCCTCTTACTTCTGGGTTGTATTTTTCAGGATTCTGCCAAGCCACATATACCCTTCAACAGGCAGAAAAGAGGAACCTCAAAAAACTCATTTTCTTATGTTCTTTCTTCTTGTATTTTTTCCCAGAAGGGGGAGCTTAATTAAGTACAGATTAGTCTTTCCACTAGTTAACACCTACATTTTTAAAGCCTTGTTTTCAATCATGTTTATAAACAGCTCCTTCTTTATTGCCAAATCCAGACAGTCTCCTGCAGGAGTCTTCTTTGACAGAGTTACCTACAAATAAATCTGAATGCCTTCAAGTATATCTAATATTTCATCTTTAGTGAGGTCTGACTTTCTAATGTAGGCCCGAAAGTACAGTGAAAGGTCCACAAATGGCAGGCAATATCTTCTGAGGAAAGCAAGCCTTTGCTCTGAGTTGTTTTACCCAAACCAACCATTCCTGAAATATTAAAGTAACTACATCTAAGTCTGTAGTTGCATTCACCTCCCTCTGCACTGGTGCCTAATGAAAGAGCCCATTTCCTATCAATCTGCCACAATTAATCTAAAGCCCCTGTTTCCAACAAAGCAGAGAAATAAGGCAGCTGTCTTCCCCACAGCCTCCCAGACAAAGCCTGTGATGTCCTCTCCTGCCAAAAAGCTGAATTTCTTTTAGTGACCAGTCTTGATGTGCTGCTCCCAGTTATGAAAGGTAACACCTGTATGTAACCAATAATTTCAGCTGCTCAAAGGGCATATTTTGTTGCAACTGCTGGATGTATTCTGTCTCCGGTAAGAGGAGCAAGAAAAAAAATTTGGACAACAACCAATTCAGAAGGTCTTGTGTGTTAAATAAAAGATGAGGGAGTTACAAACTGAGAAATCAAGAGAAAAAAAACCTCACAAGTAGACTTCCTTCACAGCAGTTTGGAAAGCAGCACAAGTATTACAGCACTGAAAACTAGCAGGTGTTTTGCCACTTCAAAGAAGAGAAGCTGGAAGGAGGAGGGTTTCTGGGGGAACAGTTCAAAGAGAACGAAGGGTTAGATAAGGCACACTTCAGAAAGAGGCTGGGTTGTGGAAAACAATTACTCCTGACAGAGGTAAACTGTGAAAGCACTGTGCAGCCCAGCTCTCCCTGAAGGGACGATTTACAGCAGAGCAGCCGTAGCATCTCCCGCTGATCCAAGGCTGCAGCTGCTGGGAACAGCCACACGCCACGCCAGGCCACACAGGACCACTGCAGAGTCTGAAGGCACAGAGCCACAAGTGACTTAGTTTAAAGAAAAATCATCCCTTTGTGATGCACCAAACTAAGTCTTGGGCAATTTTGGTGATCTTGGCAGCACTCAGATGAGACTAAAAAAGTAGACTGATGTTTCAGGCACTAAGTACAAGAGAAAATACAGTCAGAAACACCAGACAATGCTGCCATGGGACACAAGTTTTAAAGAGAATCAGACAGCAAATTGCTTGTGGTACCCAACATCAACTTCCCTATCAGGGCACTGCTGGGAGGCTTTTCTAGTTTAGGTCACACATTTATTCCTCTCTCATGGCTTCCCTGCTTCCTGAACTGAGCAACAACTCAAGTGCAACACAATCTTGCTTAGAAGAGCTGGAAAGCCTCTCATACAGCAGTCACCAGGAAACACAAAAAGGCAGCTGTAAGTCTGCAACATTAAGGAATTAGTATCCAATGCAAGGACAAGATAGCAGCAAAACAAGGTCAAGGTCACAAAAAGAAACAGAGACTCCAATGTGCTCTCCTCTTCCTGAAACCCCACTGGCATTTGAGTTAGCCCTGCCCATGTAGGCAGGAACATTGAGGGTGCCTCTGGGATGGAGCAGGAACAGCAGTCCTGCTCCTGATGACTGCACTGTTCCCTCTGCCTGCAGCACACAGAGTTTCTGTTCTGTGCAGCACAAATCTAGAAAGGACAACAGGTAACAAAATTATAGAAAGTGGCTGCTTAGAAGAACATTGAGCAAGAACCATCATCACAAGAGAAAGAGACAAGACTGGGATACAAGTGATGGACAACCAGGGGAAAACTGAGGACAAACAGGCAGAACAACACAAGGAGCTGAGTGATAAAGGTGGCACAAGATGTTATTATTAGTGAAGCACACATGAAGACTCTAGTCAGACTTCGACATCTCTCAGTGGAGAAGGGGGAAAGGGGTGACAGGACATGCTGGGCTACTTACATGGGGCATAGAACATCAGAAGTAGGGGTTTGTCTTCCTTCTTCAGAAGCCTTCTCAATTCCTAGTGAATGAACCAAAGAAAATAAACACACTTATACTCAATGACACCATACTACAACTTAAAAAGCTAGTATATGTATTCATAGAACACAGGCTCATTTATCTGAGGGAAAAGGGCTCATCTTTCCTAACAGACAGGATTCAATTTTTTTTTTTCCCCTTGGTCAATTTTAACTTGAAAGAAGATGACAAAATTTATTATACATTCAGCTATCTGCTGAATATCCTAGACCAGTATCTCCACTGTTAATACGTGGAAGTTCCATGGTGTAGTTCATTCTCACTGCAGAATCTCTTCCTGGAAACTCTTTCTTCGCTGACATATCCAAAACCCACACTGCAATTCAAAAAGTCAGACTCAATAATAACAAAACAAGTTCAGTTTTCACACTATGAAACCTTGCCAAACCTATGAGATGCCATGCAAAAAGGATTTTTCAGTACCAGCATGACAGAAAAACTAGATGAAGTTTTCAAATTGAATGCAACCCCTGGAAGCCTTGTAATGGAATACAGAGGGTGAACATTAAAAATTAATCTTCCTACAAAAACTGAATGTCAGAATAACCATTTCTAATATTAAAAATGAAAGCCAGAAAATTGAAAAAGCCCTTTACAAAATACCAGCTAGAGTCCAATCAATTAAAGTTTAAAAAATCTATAGACTAGAAAACTAATATAAAAGACCAAGCTGATTATATTAGAAAAAACATAATGAGTAACTGTGGTGGCACTGACTTTTTAAGGTAGTTGCATCACATTTGCTATTTTCCCACTTAACACGGAGAGGACAGTTCCTGTACCAAGTTAAATCCCTCAAGATCTGGGTCCCCTTTCCTCCTGCTTCACACTTCCTAAACTCAGGCACATGAGAGAACCCAAGGTTTAATGACAACCTGCAGTTTGAAGAGCAGCATTTTACCTCCTACTTGTACTCTGCAGTGACTGCACCTTGCAAGTTGCTCCAGTTCCCTGAGACAAAGAGGCTGTGCCCCCACACCACGCACAAGCTCTGACACTTGCTGTGCAGCTGGCAGACTGAGGTCACAACCACATGTAGGGCAGAGGAGGGCACGAAGGACAGGACTTTACAGCCATCACAACCCACAAAATTTGTCACATCACTTCAAACAGGCTCGGTGCTTTAAATTTCCCTCCCAAAGAAACAAAAGAATGGCATTTCACTAAGAGTTAATACAAACATACACACTCCATCCCATATATTTATAAAACAACAGAACATCTATCCAGCTAATGTACCTTTTCACTGTCAACATGCACAATATCTTTGGCTTCAGGATCTTCCTCCCACAGTGGAGCACCCTCTGGATCCTTGAGAAAGGCCACCATGGACTGTAATAAACAGGGCAGAAAATCTTTTAGAGAAACACGAATGGAAATCATGAGACGTCCAATCTCAAATCCATGCTGTGATGTAAACCCCATCCAATTAGTGCCTTTGCTTTTCTGCTCATATATTCATCTGCTCTAATGCAGATTAGCACAAATCTCCTGTTGCAGAACCAAGTGATCCGTGGGTGTGTACCTTCATCATAACTGGTATTCCAACTTAGCAGTTCCCACTCCCACTATAACAGAGTGGAAGTGGACCAGCACACAGAGAAGAGCTTCAAGGATCCTTCAGAGAGCTCTTTAAATGGTACTACACCTTCCACAGAGAGCCCCTGGGTTAGCAGGAGAGACTTCTCTTTATGCAGAGGTCAGGCTCCCATGCCCTTCACAGTATCTGAGTAACAGGACTGGCTGGAGGCACACTGATACTTGCTGTGAGCAAAAGCAAATGAACACACAGATCAAACTGCTCATTTGGTCAAAGGAAGAATAATCCACCAAGAGTTCCCTCTGTGACCCACCTACCTAAAAAATCCATTGAATGCAATTTCAAGTATGAGAATAAGAAACAAATGTGACAGGAGAAGTGGGAAATACAAAACCCCAGGATTCTGCAGCTGCCACATTCAACAAACTGAGTACACCTGCACACACACCTTTGTAACTGCTTTACCTGACTGACATGCAACCAAAAATCCCTTTCAGCAGACCACAGACAGACTGTCTTTACCAGAAGGAAATATACTCTGATAGCTCTGACTTCAACCCTAGCCTGAAGAAAAACTCCAGCCCTCCCAAATCAGTGAGATCCTCTCTATGGATTCTGTACCTGCAAACAGAGGCTTGATCACTTTTATCCTCAGATGTCTGTGCTCTAGGAAACAATACCTGGCATTCCATGTTCATTCAGCACTCAGAATGCCCCACTGCTTTCTCTATGGCATTGCTTGTAGGTTTGTGTCCATTCCCACACCAGTGACACAGCGAGGTCCCTGAGGTCCTTCAGTGTGAGTGGATGAAGCTGCCACAGCACTGAGCTATACTAACACACACCAAGACTAAAATAGTTATACTAGCACACACATAAAATTCTTTCTCAGGAGCAGGCTGGCAGCACAGCTGGTGACATGTCCCATCACTGGAACAGTCTCAGAGACATTTCTGCTGCCTGTCTGCCTTCGGTGGGGCTGCTGTGGTACAACATCCCAACAACTCATCAACAGAGAGGAGAGTTCAGCTCATTTTCCTGCCTCTCAGTTGGTACTGTAAGGCTTGGGAGGATTCAGAGCTTACAGCAGGATCCATTTATTGCATTTATGTTTCTGTCTGCTTGCACAGCTAATATTGAAAAGATTTGTCTTATCACAAGAGGCAGCATGTATCAGTCACCAGACAGCAACCAAAACACTTAATGTACAGAGTAAAAAGGATCTAACGGCTGAGGTTGACAAACAGCTCCAGAAGAAATTTTTTTTACAGTGGCATTATCAGGGAAAGGAGCTAGTTAGGAAAAAATATATAAAATCAAGTAATTTACAATGGAGTTGCAATGTAAAAAGCTGTAGACTTAGAGGCATTAACATCCCAAATGACATCCTAAGACTAATAATACATGGGGAAAGGAAAGATGAGGACAAAACAGCAGAGATGTTCTACCTTTAGGACAGCTGCATCAAGTTCTGCTCACCCTCAGCACGCACAGACCTCAACTATACACTGGAGAGGAGGAGAGAGGAGTGAACATTTTGAACAGCTAATGAGTGTAATTGACTCTGCTAGTTTCAAGAATTCCTGCATGCCAAATTCAGTCAGGTAGAAACAGATGTGGTTAGAGGATGGGGTATTAAATAGATTTAATTCATCCAGCCTCTCTCTCTCAGCCAAGACAGAAAAAAATTAGATGTGTAATGTCTTCTGGCAGGAGCAGGCAGTACGTTGCCTTGCCCTCAATTCTTCATGCAGCAAAGAGAACTTCCTCTCTTGCTTTAAACAGGGAAGAACAACACCCAAACTATCCACAGCATTCTCTAATCACAGAAAACAGTGGTCCCCAGGCTGCTGTGTTAGAGGCCACAGCAAGGTCCAGGGCCCAGCACCCCTGGTGCTGCAGAACCAGGACTGCAGCTCTGCTCCAGTCCTGCCATGCTACAGTCAGGACCTGTTCTGACCCCATGGCACAGACACAAACACCCAGGCTGCTGTGTTAGAGGCCACAGCAAGGTCCAGGGCCCAGCACCCCTGGTGCTGCAGAACCAGCTCTGCTCCAGTCCTGCCATGCTGTGGTCAGGACCTGTTCTGACCCCATGGCACACACAGAAACACTGTGGGCTGTAACCAGCTGTGCCAGCTTTGAGCCTTACACCTCCACTCAGCAGAGCACAGGACATGCTTCATCCAGCACATGCTGCTAAAAACAAGTATTTTTTCACAGGAAAGCTGATCCATAATCATATATATAGACCTAGGCTTTAACCTGAAAGAAAATGTACACAAACACATCCATGTGCTTTTCACTCCTTTGAAGTATCATGCAGTAAGGAAGCTAATAACTAGACCTGCCTCAATTTCACACACACAGTCCTTACAACAGCCAACTTGAAAAGGATTCAGGGTTTAGAGCAGGACCAATTTATTGAGTTAGATATTAGTCTATTCCCTTTGCTAGCATTAAGCAGATTTGTACTTCAGTGAGTTCTCTACATTTTGGAAGAAGGGTAAAACTCTCCCTGTACTTTATACTCCAGAAAAGGCTTCATCATGTAATAAACACAGCCTGGATACTGGCATTGTGGCTCTCCTGAGAATTAGACAGAATGTGGCTAAACAACACATGAACAGATATTCCAGGTAAGACCAAAGACTGACCTAAGCTTAGGTCTTCAACAGCAGATGACAACAGCTACTTGAGGAGAAGATAGACTAGTACTTATGGTTCTCACATAGCTTACACTGGCATGTGCTCTCAATTTCTGGCAAAAAGAAATTAAGTTTATGGGCTCTGCACCAGCTGCTGTATATGGACCTCTGTGCTTTCTAACTGCCAATGGATCTAGCTGTTATGACTATCTGAAACTGTTTTTCAGACTCCTAAGTTCTTGGCTTTCATATAGTGTAGCTACAAGTTCCAATATTTTTTTTTAACATTGCAGTTATCTGTTTCAAATCAACCATCCCAAAATGCCACTGTTTGCCCTCAAATTTGGAGAAAAAATAAGTAATCGCTCCCCTTTTTAAGCTACTCACAATTACAGAAATATCAAATTCTATTGCAATTTCCTCCAGCTGTCCTTTTTAGTATTGTGAGAACCTAAGTCCTTCTGCAAAGAATTGGAAACACATTTTTAAACTATTCCTAATTATTTTGCATCACTGAATTTTGTTCATCTCCCTTTCCTAGATACCCCAAGAAGCTCAGCTCTTAACACAGGTCTCAGCAGCAGCAAGTTCTGACTGCCAAGTAACTTCCCCCTACTGTGAACACTGAGCTTTCCTTTACTCCTCATTTTTCTAACAGTGAAACCACAAGGGCATCTCTGCTAATTACACAAGGATTTAGTTACTTTAAGAAATGAAAAGCTTTTCTAAGAACGTGAGTACACTATCTGCTGGATCAGCCACATCTATGAAATTGCTGATTACTCCAGAAGAATCCTTTTACAGTTCTTCAGAGCTGTGTCCATCGTTCTCCAAAATGTCATACATATATTAATATGTCTACTGGATGTCTGGAAAGAAGATCCAAGTTTTATTGCCACAAGTTTGCTGAATGATGTGAAACAAATCCTTTAATCTCCCTGTTCTTTGGTGTGTCCACCTGTCCATAAAATGAGTATGATACCCTATGTAATTGTGTTGCTCTGCTGCTCTCTGTTTGTATGTACTGGGAGACTCCTGACAAACACAGCTGAGAGAAACAAAGGTCACTGGCCCAACAGAAGAAAACAGGGAGAAATGGAACAGAGGGAGAAATACAGAAAATATCCAGGCAGCTGTGAGCAGCAGAACAAGCAAACAGCTGAATTATTTGATCACTGCCCAGACCTGATCCACTGCCCAACCTGTACATCATTAGTGGCTGGTTTCACAGGGGCAGTTTAATTGAGAAACACTCTAGCCCCTAGAGTGAGGGATCTTCAAAATCCCTCTTCCACCTCCAATGCAATCCCACAGCCCTGTACATGGGATGCTGCTTTCTTCTTCCCAGCAGGCAGGGCAAAAGGGAAGGGTGAAATGCTCATCACAAAACAGCTGAAGGAACAGATGATCTGGCTCCTGTTGTGCTGTGATTGCCTCTCAGCCCAGTGCTCCCTGGAGCACTGCAGGTGCTTTCCACTTCCTCTGATCTGTCAGGAAGAGTCACAGCACTAATTCCTGGTTGCAGCACTTTATGGAGGGCAGGAGAGATGCATCATGTATTGTTCAAATCACCCAAATTTAGGCAACTAGCAAGTCTCCCCTTAACCCATCACCCACCATGAAGGAAAAAAAAACAATCACCAGCTGCAATTCCTCACTAAGCACAGAAGCTGGTTTAGGCAGCTGCTGACTGGGCTGGGTATTTAACATTGCCCTTCCTGATGCCAGGCAAGGCCTGCTGCAGGAGAAGGGAAGGTACATGGCCCTACCCACCCTTCCCATCTCAGACAAATCCTGCATCACAGCCTCAAGTGAAGACTGAATTAATTCAAGTCAGGGCACACTTCCAAGACAGTCCCCTATCAGACAGTCTCCAACTCTGGCTGTAAAAGCAAGGTCCAGAGCAAGTGCACTTCAGAACAGCCACTCTGACACACTCAGGTTCACAGAGCATCTCACACAGGCTTTCCTCCATCCCAGGGCAATGCCCTGAACAAGCCAGAAAGGGGAAGTACATGGAATTATATCAACCTGGGGTGATGTCACTAAGCCTTCTAAAGACTAATGACTGTGCAGAGCCTGAGTTTGCTGGAGGAGGAAGACAAACAGGAACTGGGCATCAGAAGTGATGTAGTTCATAATTGTTCCAGGACAGAAGTGATTTCTGGAAGCCAAGTCATTGCCAGGCTCCTCACGTCAGGATACTCCCAGTGCTTCAGCAAGGCTTTGCAAAGGCAAGCTGCACACTTCTGGCCTGCTCACTGTACTTTCAGTCCACCATTTCCACAATCATCTGGATCTGCAAATTTGTATCATGCCTCATGCCTTCTCTCTTCCCTTGCCCACAGAACGCTGCCTTCCTTTGCTTTATGTCAAGATTTGCCAGAAAAAAAGAAAGGTCATTTTATACCTGATGCACTCAAAGCACTTTCATAGGAACTGTGGTTCTATAATCTGATAAAAGATAAGGCCACTCAGCTCTCTTTAAAGTTTATAAACACACAATCTAAGAACGTCAGAGAACTCCTTATCAAAACACAGTAGCAGCTAATACTTTTAGTTATACTACCACAAAGAGCACCTTGTAATCAAAACAAGAAAATCCTTATTTCTTACCAGCATGTAACAAATTTTTAAATAATAAACTATTTTCCTGGATCTGTGGTTGACAGACATGTATGCACACAAAAACCTTCAGGCCATTCTGATCACTGTTTATGAAGATTAATCCCCTCCCTTTCATGCCTTCAGCATGAAAAAATATCAAAACCAGTTTTTAATCCATAAATGCCTCACCCACATCTAGCAAAACCAGAAGAATAATAATGGAATATTTGAATTTACCTTCAATGTGACCGCTCTGTTATATGCAGTATGAAATGCACCGTCCCTGTTAAACGAGGAGTGGGGAATAGTGTTAACTTACAGTAACATTACTGGAATTCATACAGCTGCTCTTCCTGACTTCTCACTAACCAGAATAACATCATCCTGCTGAAGCCACAGAACTAAGTAGAATTTACAGTACAGTAGTTTAAGGGGGGGTGGGGAGGAACGAGAAGAAGGAAAAAGGGAGGGTGCAAACCAGTGTAAAGAAAACAGTTTCCCAGTAAACAATTTCCTCCCTGACACTTTAACATGATTATTTACTAAGGCACGATCTTTGGAGATGGAGATGCAGCTGCTTGGTGTACCTAACAGTACTCCCACTCCTATTATTTTCAGGAAGAAAAATATCTTGCTGTTTCAGAACACTTGCCTTTCTCCACTCACATTATGAAGGACTATCTCGAGTCAGAAAGGCAGGGAGATGTGAAGCAACTTGTCCAAGGCACATGCCAGCAGGCAAGTGACAGAAAGCAAGAGAACTTAAATCTCAGGCATCTGCCCCATGCACTGGACAGTTTCAGTCCACTGGACATCTCTCCTTGGCCCTGCTTACACTTTAGTGTTCTCTGTTCAACAGCAGAATAAATTTAACTCAACTTCTGTCATAACACATGCTTGCAAACTGAAGAAACAGCAATTAATTTCACAGGATAAAAAATTAGTCATCTTAATGCTGCAGCAGCGTGGGGCTGAAAGAATAAACACTCTTAATGGGGGCATCAACAATTATGAACTACAAATCCCAGCCCAGCACTCACTTATAATGGAGTAAATCCACTCCCTTCTCCTTTGAATTAGGATCTACCTTCATCTTCTTGCATAATTTTCGGCTTTCAGTATCACTGCAAAAAACACATATTGGAAGAAAGGTTACCAAAAAAGAAAATCAAATGCATTCAGTCCTGAGAACTCATTGCTGTGGTCAGCAATCATCAGCAATTAATCCAAGCTAACAGTAATTTGGAAGCTGTTTAGCTAAGTTTGTGGGAAAAGCATTGTGAAAAGCTCCATTAGTCAATTTAATTTCTCTGTTTGCTTGGTCAGGACACAGTGAACTGTGTTAAATTCACATTCCAAAGCCAAGCCCTAACCAGTAGAGAAGCAGCTCATTCCAGCACCTCAGCAGATCTTCTGTCCATGAGATTAACATAAAATTTAGGAAGCCAAATTTCAGTAAGACCATGCTACTAGTTAGGATGGTGGTCAAAGAGCACTGTTTGTTAAAAGATTCTAAAGGAAAGAGCAGGTCAGCTTTTACACTTGGCAGAAGGTAACAGAAGGCCAAAAAAACCCATGTTCATGGTATGTCCAAGTCCAAATCACAAGCATTTAGCCTTAGGAAGGTCCTGCAGAAAACAAAAAACAGTTGAAATTCTGGAGCCCCAAACCCAGCAACCCCATTAATTCTAGGTATGAAAGATGTGTCCTGGAGCCACACCTGCAAAACAGAGGCAAAAACAGCTCATAAAGGAGGGGGGAGGTGTCAGCAGCCAGACCTGTTAGAGGTGGTTTTCAAATTGAACAAGACTGAATGGCTTCCAGCACCAGATTAGGCTTGAAGAAGAGAGAGGGGTCATGGGAGAGAACTGCAAATACATTTGTTTCAGTGGGCAGGTAAAGGGTCCTCATGGCCTAGCAGCTCTCCTGAACAGGGCAGGAGTGAAGCCATAAGGAGACTTCAAGCTGAAGTGAATAAGAAGTTGGTCAAAGATCTGGGGAGATGAGCAAAACAGAAAAGAGGATGATTCACATTGACAAGGCTGTTCTCTGCATTGACAAACAGCAAGATTAAACAGCTCGGAAACTTGTTCCCAGCAGAGGACAACTTGTACCTTTTACGCAGATAAATCAATTTAGAAAATGAAAACACTGAAAACCCATCAAGTTTAAACTGATTAGAGACAACAAGATGCAAGGCTTGCAAGAGCCCCACCAAATTAAGTGTGCTGCCAGCACTGGTGCTAATTCTCCCAATCTTCTCCAGCTGCCTTTCTACAAATGTGAAGAACAACAAACACCAAGTTCACAGTGAGCTGCAAGTGAGAATGCACCTTAGTGGAAACTTCCCAAATGCCTCTGGAAATAAGGAGGAATGTGCCATGGACACATGCAGCAAAATCAGAATACTATGCTGAATACAGAAATGAGCATTTTAAGGATAAAACCACCACACCAGGAAGGAGCACTTGTAATCTCAATTGAACAGAAGTGTATTTATCTGAAGTGTCTTACTGAATTCATGTCAGTTTTGCATTTTCACATTACTGTAACCCATAAACACTTTCTTTGCTTCCCTGGGAAGCTGGAGATCTGAGCTTGACAACTGAATAAGGTGGACACGTCTCCTTGTTACAAAACTAGACTATGGAACAAATGTCCTGGCTTTGGAATTATGCCAAAACACCATGATTGCCACACGAAGCTCATACAAAAAACCTGCAGTAACACCAAACCCATGGGTAAGAAACATTCTGTCTTCTCTCCCCTGCAGTTCTCCAATGGTCTAAACCTAAATGACTCGAAAGTCAAGGAATGTCCAGAGAAGACACCAGTTTCAGATCATCCCTTTGTCTTACCCTGTACAGATTCAGAGGCACAGAGAAGGTCTTGTGGCCCTGCTGCAGTTAACTACAGTCAGCTCACACAGCACTCAGCATTTGTAAATGCTCTTCTAGACACTCCCAAACGTTTCCAGTGTGCAGGTGCACCCGTGGCTACCTCAGCTTTGCCAAGACAAATGTTAGGTGCTTGATGTCAACAAGTGTAATGCTGAAACCTCAGCAACAGGGTCTGTGAAACCCCAAGATGTGCAGACAATTGTTCTTGTATCACAGAGGACTAAACTGGGTACCAAGAGAATCCTGTACCTGTTCTACCACCTATTTGGTGCAACCAACCATGTGGGGAAGAAAGTGTAATTTTCCCCTACGTGTCATTTAGAGATCTGAATGAATACTAATATTCTGAAAGGTTTATAGTGAAAAAAAGCTACAAAGCATTATTACTGATCTATACCTGTGGGTATGCAACTAGCAACTCCTACCACTTCAATTCCTAGCAATTCATTTTCTGTTAGCATGAGATTCTATTAAAAAAAAAGAAAGATAAGAATAGCTATTTGACTGGATCTAAGTGTGTCCTGCTTTCAGAATTTCTCCATTTGCAGAGATTCACACAGCTGCCTGAATGCACAGCCATTATCACAGGAAAGAAAGCAGCAGTTTGCTAGAGTATGTCTCCTACCATTTAGTGGGCAGATTCTCTGCACCACCGCATTGAGAATTAAGCCTGTTTATGCAAGCTATCTGCACTGATGCATGGGATAGAAGAGGAGCAAATTCCAAGAATAGGAAACCTCTAAATATGTATCAGTAATTTTTTCATGCATCAGTGCAGATTTTTGCACATGCCAGACCCACCAGCTCAGATGCTATGCTAACAATTATTCAGAAAAAGCAGAAAAGGAGATGTACAGAAATGGCAGAGATGGACCCTTCTGCCTTCACTTAGAGACAAAACCTGCAAAGAGCAACCTGCTCTGATATCACGTGGTAATGACCATTATTCTTAATAAGAGTAAATATCAACACAGATGCAGCCTGCTCGAAGATTTGTCTCTTTTGAATCTCAGCCAACAGCCTCTCTCTGAAGATGAGCTCCTCAACTCTCACATGGGAGAGGGTAATTAGGACTCCAGTTCTTGCAATTTAATTATATCACTTGAAGAGGCAGCGTAAGAGTTTGTTATAATGACTAAAAGTAAAAAAAAAGGCAACAAAAACAGGAAATAAAAAGGAAAAAAACAAAACAACAACAAAAACCCCAAAAAACCCCCAAAAAACCAAAACAACAAACCACAACCTAAGAAGCCAGAAACTACCCTCAAAATAAGCACTCTAGCAACCCAGGCCAAGCCACTCAAGGCAAAGGCACCAGGCTCAGGGAATACTGGCCTGAGGATGAGGTCAGTAATGTGTCCCCAGCAGCCATCCTTGGCTGCCTCTTGCCATTTCTGTCCAGAGCAATTTGAAGCCTGGCAGGTCCCTGCTGTGCTACTGCCAAAGGGACCCTTGTAGAAAAGAGTTATCCAGCATTATCTCCCTGGAAAATCAACCTATTTGCAATACCAATTGCAATACCACAAGGACCTGTCCAGCAGCTGTCTGTGTGGTAATAAGGTCAAACCTTAGTGGCACAATGGCACAGCTTCCTCCTACTCCCACAGGCATGTTCTCCACTCTTCCCCTTCCACAAAACCAAACCAGGGCTTCAAAATGTGCCTTTGCTGGAGAAGTGAAGACATACAACAGCTTGGTAAAAAGAAAAATGAAATGAGCGATCCAAGCTGACCTAAGCAAGAAATGTACATAACAACAAAGGTGGTGTGCACTGCAAAGATCGCGTGCACACTTCATCCCTCTCCATTCCCATCCCCATCTCCTCCACCAGGACACATTTCTGTCACTGGGGGTTACGATGGAGCTGGCAGGAAGCCCAACTGGAGCACTCCCTGTAAACCTCTGGGGTCCCTTGTCAGAGTAAGCAAGCATGAATAATCCCTTAGCACAGGCAGGCAGCTGTTACCAGGGCAGGAGGGTGGCAAGGGACTCCTGAAGGAGATCTGGCCTCCTTTGGCTCACCACCAGTGCAGCCAGCTCCTGAAGGGGACATTTCACAGCCCTTCCATAGGAGTGGCACAAGATGCTCTGCCTGTCCAGGACTGCCCACAGGTCTGGACACTCATGGCCATAAGGATGGAGAAGCAGGGAGAAATGCTGATGGCAGTCCCCAGTGGCAGGAGGAGCAACACAGAAAAAGGCTTTTGCAGCAATGTGTCAAGGTAATTTGGAGAGAGAAAGAAGATAAAAGCTAGACAGAAGGAACACAAAATAAGACCCAGGAGTTTTGCTGCAGTTAACTCCACAGTTTCTGAATGTAAAAAAAGTCCAAGATGGACGGATCCCAAGTAAAAAATGGTGCATGGAGGTAGAAGTGCAAAACCCCCTCCTTGGGGAAAATTCAAATATTGACCAAAGGAACAGGGTAAGACCAAAAAGCTAGACAGAAGGAACACAAAATAAGACCCAGGAGTTTTGCTGCAGTTAAGTCCACATAGTTTCTAAATGTAAAACAAGTCCAAGATGGATGGATCCCAAGTAAAAAATGGTGCACAGAGGTGGAAGTGCAAAACTCCCTCCTTGGGGCAAATTCAAATATTGACCAAAGGAACATGGTAAGACCATACATCCTCAGCACCATTCTCTTTCATGAGCACAAATATCACCTTTTGCAGCTTCCTAATTATTTCCCTTACTATGCAATGCTGCCCATTGGCCTCTCATGAAGACAGGAAAACAGCCCCACAACCACATCTCTGGGGAGGAAGGATTTGGAACGACTGTCAAATCCCCTCTTCAGCAATGACAAAAATGCCATCCCAAAACAGTCATGTCTCCAGCTGCCAATGTAACAGGAGAGTGTGAACATGCTGTGTGGCCACATCACTCCCATGACACTGCCCTGGCATCCCTTAACACTTTTCAATGCAGAGTGCACCCAGCTTTCTTTTTCACCCATACCTTGAGGGTTTCCAGGCACAAGAAAAGTCATTAATAAAAATGCTGACAGAACCAATTCAAGTAACCAGGACAGTAAATGTGCGTGCACAAAAACCATCTCATTCCTCTATCAGCATATGATGCAACCACATGGAACCCACAGACCTCACAATTTCTAAACAGATTTTCTCTTTCATCTGTACATCTCACCATCTGAAACAGGGCTCAACAATCCACATACATGATGCTTCAGCAGTCCCTTATATCACAGCCTGTAGACTCTA